AGGTTGTGAACCTGCCATATGGACCCTTCCGATGATACGGCCGGATCTAAGACGTATGAAATTATCGCCGGAATTGGAATGAGGAATTTTGGCTTGCTCCCACTGTGGTCGCCAATTTGTTGATGTAATTTTTCAACAAATTTAAAGTAAAATTCAAAGATATAGAAAATATCCTTAAACTTGATTAATTAGTGCCTGAGATTAGGAATCTCTAAACACTGTATAGTACAGAAAATAAACTGGAAAATAAAAGACTGAAATTTAAAGTGGTGATCCCCAAATCTGACTTTGCTTTGTTGAAGTTGATTGAAGATACCTTGTCAAATGATGATCCAAATCCTTAAATATTCTCTGGGAAACTGTACTGAAAACCGTCGCCCGAACGGTTACAACGTCTCCTTCCCAACCGTCTTCCAACCCTTCTCCTGCTGACACGTGTCCTCAGCAGACCAAAATTATCCCTATATTCCACTCTTTGAGCCAACCACAGACCTTCCGCCCTTTAGGCCCGACTGCCAATCCTCCCGACTTGCAAACCATCTGACTTGTTTGGATTAGCTAAAAACATCCCGACTAACAAACCACCCGATTTGTTGGTTCTGCCGCAGAATTCCGACCTGATAACTTCCCGACCTGAGGGCCTCCCGACTTGCGGACTTCCCGTCCTGAAGGCCTCCCGACCTGCGGACTTCCCGTCCTGAGGGCCTCCCGACCCGCGGACTTCCCGTCCTGATGACTTTCCGTTTTGAGGACCTCCCGACCTGAAAACCTTCCGACCTGAGGTCTTTCCGTCTTGAGGACCTCCCGTCCTGAAAACCTTCCGACCTGAGGTCTTTCCGTCTTGAGGACCTCCCGACCTGAAGACCTTCCGACCTGAGGTCTTTCCGTCTTGAGGACCTACCGACCTGAGGTCCTTCCGTCCTGATGACTTTCCGCCTTGAGGACCTCCCGACCTAAAAAACCTTCCGACCTGAGGTCTTTCCGTCCTGGGGACTTTCCGTCTTGAGGATTTTCCGACCTGCGGACTTTCCGTCCCGGGGACTTTCCGTCTTGAGGACCTTCCGACCTTCCGACCTTCCGACCTGAGGTCTTTCCGTCTTGAGGACCTACCGACCTGAGGTCCTTCCGTCCTGATGACTTTCCGTCTTGAGGACCTCCCGACCTGAAGACCTTCCGTCTTGAGGACCTACCGACCTGAGGTCCTTCCGTCCTGAGGACTTTCCTTAGAAATAAACCTATTTTCCTTGATTTCCTCACGGTGTCCTTCAGCCAGTTCAATCAACTCTATTGCCAGGCCCATTCTTCTTTTTACCTTGGGCTTTTAACCTAATTCTAAATTTCATACGTAACAATTTCATTTCGGGTTATCGGAGCCAATATTTATATTTTTTTTAATAAATATTAACAATTTAATACAAAATATTATTTTTATATTAAGTACACGATTATATATATTACAAACTATAATATTAAACAGACAAATTCAATAATTTTATAATTGCATATTAAAAAGGCAACTACATTTAATTACTCAGATTTAGAAATTAGTTTTTAGAAAATTCAAATTAATTTTGTTACTCCCTATATATAAAGTATAAATTTATTACAATGATATAAATGAAAAATACAATAAATTTTATATAGTAATTGAGTCAATATTATTATACAAAAAGATTATATAAATTCACTGAAATATTTGGTAATACTTTGTTCACTCAATATTTTAAAATGAATTATTTTTTATATATGGCAAAAAAAAAAAAAAAAGAATTGTATAAAAAATATACAATATATTATTTTAAATTTGAATATTATATTTTTAATTTTCTTGTAATGAATATATGAGTTTTTCTTTTAAAATTTTTGACTTTGTAAGATATATTTTATAGTATTATTTATTATTAGTTTTTAAGAATCGCATTTCAAAACTTAAAAATAAGTTTGGGTGAACAAAGCGAAAATATAGGCCATGTTTGTTATTAGAAACGAAAAAAATAGAAATAAAAAAGGAGGGTAAAATAACACAATAATCCACGGGAACGCCTGGGGTATAAATTTGAGAAAATGACATATGATTCACACTCTAAACCCAATCTGAAATCTAATCCTCGTAAGCATCGCTTTCTCTCTTTTTGAGGATGCATTTGTATTCTGATTTCAGACCGCAATGGATTCCGTCAATCAGAGGAATGTAAGTTTGATTTACATTTTTTAGAGTCGTCGTCTGTTTTCATGTGTGTATTTTCTGATCGATGTTTTCGTCGGCAGCAAGAAAAGGCAAAGGAAAAGGAAAAAGAGAAGGAGAGCAGTTGGGGATCAATCGGGAAAACGCCTTAGCCCATGGGTAAAATGAATGAATGATTTGGTTTGGGGGAAAAATCAATATTACGTTTTGAGAGTGGGTAGAGTCATTGGGTGGGGTGGGGGAGTAGAGATGAATTATGAATATAATAGAAATTGAAATATTGAATCTTGAATATAATAATAAACCAATAAAGATTGTTGAAGGATAAAATAAAAATATATAATTTTAATTTTTAAAATTATTAATTTAAGCTTAATCGGGTTGGAGCAAGTTTGGACATCAAACCCGAAACATGCTTGGACCTATCCAGGTTTAAAATTTTATAGCTCATAATTCGTCCCGGGTATAGCATTTTGGATGTGAACCAATTGGGCCATGACCAGTTTGGAGTAAAAGATTTTAAATGCGAACTTGTCCTATAATACTTGGGCCGGGACGGGTTCGTAATGGAACTTGTCCCCGATTGCCATCCCTAGAGAGAGTGTGTTGGTTCTCAAACAAATTTTGGTATGGTTTCAATGAGTTGGTCTCGGGCTAGGAGGAAAATGAATAATTTGAGAGGGGGTGGGCCGTGTTGTGGGGGAGTGTGTCGGGCCTCCAACAATTCTCTTTTTAAGATTTTGATAGTTGATAATATAAATTGGCTATTTTATCCATTTTTCTACCGTAGCCATGCTTAACTTTGTATATGATTGTAGGTTGGGGATTTAAAAGATTTATATGGCATACATGACCTCTTGAAATTATTTTTAGAAGTGGAGTTTGGTCGAGAAATCATTTTTTCTATAGTAGCCATGCATCTCACTTTATATATTTCAAATTTGAGAAATAAGACTAATAGTTTTGATTTTTGTTAGGTGGTATATCAAATTCCTACCAATCATAACAAGGAGCCAACGAAAAATATTCCCCTAACTCTCCAGAGATTATTTTATAAGTTTCAACATAGTGAGAGTAGTGTTGCAACAAATGAGCTGACAAGATCCTTTGGGCGGGATCAATGCGATGCTTTTGTACAACATGACGTGCATGAAATGAATCGTCTGCTATGTGAAGCACTTGAAAAATATATGACGGTGCATAGAAAATAGAAATTTATAATATGAATTGGACAAAAAGCCTTTGAATATGTTTATAAATATTCTATTAATACCTTTCTTAATGGTATAGGGAACAACGATGGATGGTGCTTTGAGACCGTTATTTGAAAGGCACCATAAGTACTACATTGGATGCATCAATATCGACTATACATCAAATAGAATGGAGTCATTTTATGGTATTTTTTTTATTAATTGGATAAGATATTATATTCTTTGGCAATATATATTTCTTTCTTATTTTATGACATCTACGTGGCAGATCTTCAACTTGATGTGAAGGGTTGTCGTGATCAAGGTTGTCACGGCGTCGCCTAGGCGACGCCTAGGCGTCCTGGCGGTGATGATACACCGCCGGAGTTGGTCGCCTCGCCGTTTGGCGAGGATGGCGTCCAGGCATTACTTTGGCAACGCCATTCCGCCAAGACGACGCTAGAAGAAGTTTGGGTCTAAATCTTAGGTTTAAACTAGATTAAATACTTTCTAAAATTAACCCACCCCTAAGCCCATTCTTAAACCCAGCCTTAAAACTTGAATCACAGCCTTAATACCTTCGTTGCTGTCGCTATCCGTCTCTTCAATTTCGTCTTCCATCGTCGTCTTCCATCTTCCGCGTAGGTAAGAAGAAAACATTTAATATGTTTCTACGTTGTAACTTGTATGAGTGGAGTGTATATATAATTATATATATAATATAATATAATTATTAGTGCAGTACTGAGTGTGCAGAGTGCAGAGTTTTGCAGAATTACTTTAGACTATTATATATATTTTCATGTACTATTGGGCAGAGTGGGACAGTTATTAATGGTTTTGCAGTTTTCCACTTTTTCAAAATTATTTAATATTATAATTTATATAGTTAATTTATGTAAGCATGTACTATCGTATAAGTTATATTATATAATATTAGTGTATGCTGGATAGTTTGTTTATATATTTTATAATTTTTAATTTATTTTATTTTTATTATGTTTGATTTTTATATTAATTTATTTATGTTTTAATGATTGATCTATTACTTATACATTTTATTTATATATATATTTTTGTACTAGTTACTTTAATGACCGATAATGAAAATGTCCAAGATTTATCAAATGATCCGGCAAGAAAGGCCAAATCATCCGATCCAGGATGGAAGTATGGATTTTGGCCGGATTTGAATAACAAAGATTTGATTGAATGCTCTCTTTGTCACAGACAAATGCTTTCTGGAGTCAAGAGGTTAAAGCAACATTTAGTTGGGAGCTACGGCGATGTTGTTAAATGCCCTAATACCACAGAAGAAATTCGTAAGGAAATACATCAATTTATAAGCAAAAAAGTGATGAATAAAACATCGCGGGGTATTGCCGAATTTGATTATTTTGAGGATACCGAAGACAATAAGGAGTTAGAAGAAAATCAATCTACGGGTGCTACAAATTCATCTTCCAAGCCTCCAGTACATCCAAGTTCGGGAACAAGTAGCAAAAGAATGTTCGCTCAATAGTTTTCTGAACCTCCGAGAGTTGGAAAACAAAGTAATTCAATTGCTGCAATGATTCGAAAGACTCCTAAAGAGATTGTTGAAGAAAGATATATGAGCGGTTATGTTCAGAAAACCATCGAAGCTTCTACAAAAGGAAAAGAGGAAACAAAAGAAGTGCAAAGGCGTATTGCTGATTTTTTTCTATGAAAATGGCATTCCATTCAATGCTTCCAAATCAAGAAGTTACGAAATTATGGTTGAGGCTATCGGACAATATGGTTCCGGTTTGAAACCTACTAGTTATCATCAGTTGCGAGAACCATTTCTTGAAGATGCCGTGAATGTAACACATAAGTTGAAAGAAAGGCACATGGAAGCTTGGAAACAATATGGGTGTTCCCTTATGTCAGATGGGTGGATAGACAAAAGAGGGCGACACTTGATAAATTTTCTTATCAATAGTCCAGAGGGGACTTTTTTCTTAGAGTCTATTGATGTATCAGCTGAGTCACATGATGCAAGAATGTTGGCTGACCTGCTTGAAAAAAAGGTTGAAGAAATTGGCAAGGAGTATGTTGTGCAAATTGTGACGGATAATGGAGCAAATTATAAAGCAGCGGGAAGATTATTAGAACAGCGCATTCTTGGTTTTTTTTGGACACCATGTGCAGCTCATTGTATCGATCTTATGCTAGAAGACATTGGGAAAATGAATGAATTTAAACCCTACATTCAAAAGGCTAGGGACGTCACCACTTTTATTTATAGACATGGGAGAATTCTCAGTGCAATGAGGGAAAAGACCGGTGGCAGAGATCTGGTGAGGCCGGTGACTACCCAATTTGCTACCACATTTCTCACTTTGCAGAGTTTCAACAAATATAGGAATGAACTGAGGCGGTTATTTGTGAGTGATGATTGGAGCGATAACAAGTTGTCAAAAACGTCAAAAGGAAAAAAGGTGATGAAAACCATTCTTTCATCGAAATTTTGGGATCAGGTAGAAGATTGTTTACGAGCAACCCTTCCTCTTTTGATTGTTTTGAGGATAGTCGATGGTGATGAAAAGCCAGCCATGCCTGAGCTTTCTTCGGCTATGAATCATGCGAAGGAGAAAATAACTGAATCTTTTACGAGCAATAACAAAACAAGATTGCTGGCCAAGTTGACGGAAATAATTGAGGATCGATGGAGCAATCAAATGGAGGTGAAGTTATATGGGGCTGCACTATTCCTAAATCCTTCAAAATATTTTGAATTGAAGAGGAGTGATCCCGTATTTGCTCGTAAGCAACGTCAGTTGTTTAATGATGTCGTAGAAAAGATGGTTAAAGATGAAGAATTTATGGATAAGATTAGTGATCAAGCAGATGATTATGATAAAATGCGAGGAAGCTTTGGCCGTCAATTGGCAATCAAGCACCAAATGCAAAAGAGTCCTCTTAAGTTTTTTTAACATATATATATTTTTATTTTATATGAAACTTAATTTCACATATTGACTATAATTTTTTTTTTATAAATATATTTTAGTTGATTGGTGGGATGCATATAGTGGTGACAAAGAAGAACTTCGATCACTTTCCGTACGAACTATTAGTTTATGTTGCTCTTCTGCCGGTTGTGAGCGCAATTAGAGCACATTTGAATTTGTAAGTAAATTTGTTCGAAATTTACTTCTATTAATATTTTAGTATAATTTTCAAATTTGATATAAAGTTTTATTTCTAGATTCATACCAAGAAAAGAAATAGACTAGAGCACCAAAGACTAAATGATTTGGTGTATGTTCAATATAATCGGAAGATTGCACATCGCTTTCAAAAGCGGCGGGAAGAAGGAAACAATTTGAATCCCTTAATTCTTGAAGAATTGGGTTGATGATTCTCGAGATTTAGTTCATGAAGATGGAGATCTTGAGTGGCATCATGTTGATGAAGCCGTAGGTGCTTCAAGTAATCTCAATAATTCCAATCTTCGTAGTAAAGGTGTTGGTGAATCCTCAGGTCCCCCCATCGTGTATGACCGTCGCCATGGCCCTTCTAACAGACGTTTGACAAATGAGGATGAAGAAAACGATGAAGATGATATGAATACTGAAGATTAATGGAAATTTGAGAAATTGAGGGACTTTTCTCTTGGTGTTTTGAAACTTTCATATTTTGACATATTGATACTTTAGTGTTTTGATGGTTATGCTTAGTATTTTGATATTTTGGTATTTTGATATTTTGGTATTTTGATATTTTATTTGAAATCTAATGATTTGATGTTATAATTTTATATTATATAATTAAATATTAGAAACTTATAATAAACACTAAGCAGGTCGCCGTATCGCCATATTGTCGCCATTTCGGGCGCCATGTCGCCTAGGCGATATGGCAGTCCGATGGCGCCGTGCCTAAATCCTCGCCGTAACAACCTTGGTCATGATGTTTATGCTTCACTTGATAATTTTATTGAAGTTGAACATTTGGGTAATGATAACAAATATGGTGCCGATCACTTTGGTTTGTAAGTGGGTAGTTCAATTCAATTCATTGTTCATATATTGCATTGGCATTTTTTCTTGTATTGCATGCTAGTTTTTCTTGTTTTGCATGCTAGTTTTTCTTTTTTAAATGGTGATATTGGTGTTATGATCTTCTCATTTTAGGATGCTCGGAAAGGAATCTTATTTATAGACTTTCCACCCATGTTTCAACTGCACTTAAAAGGTTTGTGTATGAAATTGGTCGAGGGTTATAATAAAGGTAAGCCATTGATTTGTTCATCCAAATTAGAAGATGATAAGCATGCATACACTTCCTATACATGACACTTATATATAAACTAAGAAGGCCACAAGTCAAATATTGAATGTGATTATCTTTCATTGTTGTCATAGTGTCGTCCAAATTAATCTAACCTGGGCCCAATCCAATTAGCCTAGGCCCCAACCTAAGTTAAGTCCAAACTTACCTTACGACGGATGGAAGTGAGAGTTAAGGTCTAAAATTATTAAGAAAATTCAACTAAATTGAAAAACTTGGCAGCGACATCCACATTAATAGAATTTTCACCTTCATTGGAAAATTTATTTTGCATTGGAGTGAAAATTTTTGAAAAACTGTTGAAGATTACCTGGGTTTATTCTTATATTATATACCTGGGTTTACTTATTCTTTTACTGTTTGCTATATTTTTTATTTATTTTATTCCTTTAGTTATTTGTCTTTTAAGAGGTTGTAAATATATTTTTCAAATGAAAGTTGTTAGACTTACAATTCAGATTGTTTTTATTCCACTTGGGCTGGAAGGTTTTACTGGGCGTGGCTCGAAGTCTATCCTCCAAATATAAATTTCAAAGTTCAAACAATTTTTAGGTCAGTTTGTGACAAGATGGACTCTGATTGCTCCATGGCTTTTTACAGCATTTCTTCTTTCTTAGGTAGTTGGGAATTCATTTTTTCTTTGGCTCTACATTAATAGTTTATGTTAATCAATAGATTGCACATCGTTTTGGGCTTTCCTTATTTCTTTATTCTATCTTGCAACTATTGGGGCATATGCATTTATAGATTGAAAAAGTTTTAAGTGTGTGGCTGCTATTACAAAATCTACACTTCTCTTGTTTAAAACCAATTCTCAAGCACGGTTAACAGATTAAATTTCAGACTTAATACTTCTGTAATTTGTCGCTGATGTTGCGATGTATTTTGATTAGGTTTTGAATACGTTTTAAGTGGCACATATGTTCTCATTTTCCTGTTCGGTATGTCAGGAGATAAGATATGAGACTAGCGTCGTGTGTGAGCCAGTCGGCATGATACTTTTATTTAGATCTAGCCAGGTATACAACATTCACAAGAACATTATTATGTGAGTAGACTAGAGACATATTTCATTTTGATGATTCTTTTTGCATTAAAATCTCAGGAGGAATGGGGTTATTATCAACTTTCAAAAGCCACTTAAAGTGTGCACTAGAGTTTGACTTTCATTGTTCGGATGCTCCCGTATATCTTCAATATCGGCATATTATCCAAGTATCTTTTCTTATCACTTACTGGTCTATATATGTTGGTCGAAAAAGGACACAAAATAAAGAAAAAGACATGAAGAGAGAAAGAATTTTATCAATACATACTGCTTATCCCAAATGTCCATAGCTTTTTTGTAAAACTGCTTCCTTTTACAATTGGAGCTCCTTCGGACTGAAACATGTTCTATCATACTTTGAGGATGTTTGGTTATGTTTATGAGAATTTTTTACGCCAGCTTTGGTGCTTCTTACATGTCATAAATCAAGTTGTCCTTTCTAAGTGTACGCAGACCAGAAAAATAACTTGTGTCTGCATGTATGTTCTTCTTTCAAAAAACTGTGTATGCAATACTAGGATGAGATATAAAGAATAACACATGGTTTAACTACTATTTTGTTCTTTATTCCATTTTTTTTTTCTTTTTTGTTTTTCCACACTAGAACAAGCATGGAACTAACATTTGTTTCATTGTATATTTTTGTGCAGAAATACCAATCAATGGTGATTATAAAACAAAGCTTTAGTTTGTATACTAACCCATTGGAGAAGCTCATGAAGAGATTCAATTGGAGGATGCATGGATGAATGAATGGTGATTGTAGATGCTCTTGCTCGCATGGATGTGGACAACCGTGAGATGCATCCAACAAACAAGGTTGTTCCCTTGTGCGTGCTGTAATATAGCTTTTTGTAGCACATAATGTCCCCAATCCCCGCAGTGTAGTAATATAAAGGCATACGGAATCAAGAAATGTTGAAGTTATGTAGCCTTTATAGGTGCCTAGATCCAAGTAGACGTGTCGAGTCAGCCGGAACACACATGATTCTAGACTCGGATCTTATTTCCTTAAGTCAATTTGTTTGATGAAAAAGTTGTGGTTAGTCATATGAAGTTGTTTAGTTCGACAACTTATAAAATGAAGGCCGATGGCCGAAAATTGTTGAGAATATACATTGTACATGTGTATGTATAACTTATACTCATATTTATATGTACGCAAAAAAACATCCCGTAACTCTAGTTTGCATTGGAGAATCTGATTGCTTAATGATATTACTGAAATATTTAAATTATAGATCTTAATAATATGTTTACCCAATGCATTGAATGTGTAGTAACTCCTAGGACATGGTTTCAAGTAACTCTTTGACTTGTGGGTATCGCTTTTGCTATATTGAAAATTTTGAATTACATTTAAGATTTTTACTTGTCGAAGAATTAGACAAATAGCACATCTTCAGCTTTTATCTTCCTGCACTGGTGAAAATTGAACTTTTTATTAAGTAGAACATTGCATTTGGAATGGAAGAAATGAACATCTAGGTGGAACAAATTATTTTTAATTAATGTATTATTATAATAGATTTTATTTACTCACATGTTTTAATGTATTAAAGTAAATATATGATTAGATCGGATAATATAATATTATTTACCCTAATCACTTGATATAAACCTACCAGACAATTATTAGGAGATGGTCAAGAATGAAAAGCTATATCAACATATTTCACAGAACCATAATAATTAATTCATGATAATTTGCGAGGATTAATGGGTTTAATCTTTTTAGTTCTTTTTTTTTACTATGCAATCTCTTCATGTTACGTCGAACTCAGTTTTCATGGACACAACCATATCAACGAGAGCTATTGTTTTGATGAGAAAAAAGGCATAAAATAGGGATTACAGACTTAAATGCATATGGAGGACTTATTGGCTACCTATCATGTTCTTGACCATGCAAGCCTACATTGGAAGCTTAATGTAAACACCTATAAGATCTGTCACTATATCTTCAGATTTCTTAACATCACCTTCCACGGTATCTCTCATACATCGAATGAATTGGCTAAGTTCTTTTCAAAACAAGGAAGTAAAGCTAAGAATATAAGCCCGTAATAATAATAATAATTACAAAAGAAAAACTGAAAAAGCTTGCAATGATTATTTTTGAAAAGTAGAAATAGATATTATTTATAGGTAATAACAATAGAGTTCTAGGAGTTACAATCAGACAAATAGAAAAACTATTCCCCTATAATCCTCTCATTGAAAAATATGCGTATTCCTTTTTGCACTTCATGTAATATGTTGGGAAACAATGAAAAGCAACTTATCATTGAAGAATTATGCTTTTTTAGAGATAAATTAACATATATAGATGTGCACAATTGAGTATCGAATACAATGAAAGGTAATTCTTTAAGTCACATCCAACCACAAATTTTGGAAGAGGAGCATGTTGTCTCTAAAGAATAGCTTCAAGAATGAGTAGAACAACAACGATTTTCGCTATATTTGAGTCTTCAAAATCAATATAATTGAATATAATGAATAGAAAATTTTCATAGCAGTCCATAATGATTGCTCCAACTTATGTTGGACTTGGTTTACCGAAAGTTGAGTTTTCTTTGTTCACAATCAAGCATTAGAATTCCGGAGATATCCATAAAATCTCTCATTTATGATTTGAGATTTAGGTTGCATAAGATAAATCTCTTGAATATTTTTTACCAAGAAAGACATGGGTAGATCCACATTTGAGAAATGTTTCGGGAACCATTTGCCATCTATGAGACTTCTAAATTTGACAAGCAACTGCTTTGCGCAATCTTCGCCATTCGCACTTTGGGAAATGTACCTCATTATCTCTCATATTTGTTCTTGTTGTGCTATTCACCAAGTTTCCTTTCAATCTCCCCCGGCCCGTTATTCTATTAACAACATAGGGTGTTTTCGACCTTTAAAGTTTGTTAAAAAGAAGTACAATGTTTACGTATAATGAGGTAAAAGAATTTAAAAGAATTCAAGCAACAATATAACAATTTTACCTTCTTCGATGAGTATAAAATGTTGTTCTCTCTTTCCAGAGGCAAGCCGCCCACTCCATAGAAATGCTCAAATTCAAACTTGAGATTGAATGGATATAAAGGATAATATTCTCATTGTGTTGCTCAGATAAAACATCCATCCTTCCATTTTTCATGACCTCATTTTTCTCCATTATCGTACTGGAGATTGTATGACATGTAGTATAGTTTTAGTTAGTTCAGAAAAATATTTCACACATACTAT